GACTATCTGGTATGAGAAAGCACTCGGCGACGCCCAATCTTGCAAAAATCACTGTGAAATTCGAAGGTGCAAAGCACATAACGAACAATGCAACAAAACTTATCAGTGCGCTTTGTGCGTTCTCTGTACACTCAAAAAGACAGTCGATGTCATCGGTGTACTCTAACGTCGCACAGCTTTTATCCAGCTGTCCATTCAATAGCTACGTTTTGGATATCACCAGTAATTCGTCACTAAAGAAATCGTTCAGGAATGGTGAAATAGGGCACCCCTACCAAACACCGCGGCTAATTTCGAAAGATCCGCTCAGCTCTCCGTAGGCCTTTACGCCAGTAGGGCCAGTAGAGTAACCTCGATAGGTTGACATTCTTCTGCGACATATGTTTGCGAAGGAGCAAACCTATGAGGACTTCGTGGTGGACAAAGTCGAATGTTCCTTCCTGGTCGAGGAACAACGAAATCGTCCGCTTAACATGGCATAGCTTAGTTCGAGCAGTTGATGCGGGGTGAAGATTTGATCGATCCAACCGCGACCTGGTCAGAATTCTGCTTGTTCTGGCTGATATTGGTTTCCCTGAGAACTGCTTTGTTCTCCGACAACGATTCGGAACAAGGATGACTGAACTCAGGTGATCGATCGAAAACGCCAACCAATCGTTTGACATTCCCCAGTTCTATCTTCCCCATAAATAACCGTGATTTTTAAATAGTAAACGAACTCCATTGTGTTCTATTTCACTAAATATGGAGTCTCTATCTAGACGAGAAACGTGAACGGAAGATCATTCTTCGAGAATCCAGTATCGAGAAAATGCGTTGCAGTTACAGCCGCATCGCACATAAGAGACTCTTGAAGGCTATCCAATTGATTAGTAACGCTTAAACCCTGTTCGAATCCGACGATGACTGCAGTCTCTTCATGTATGAATCATAATACAATGCTTTGACCATCTTCCTGGCGAGCCTTTGTGGACGCTCCAAAATCTTACGATCACCTTGTAACCACGGATTCCAGGTTTGGATGACTTACTCAATATGCGGCCGGATATATGCTCACGGTAGACTTGGGAATAAAGATGGTTCAGAACGATCAAAAACACATTTAATTAGACCGACATGTTTGAGTGCTGTTGATGACACCCTGGCACAGTTCAGGTCTTCGTGGACTTTGACACCCAAGTCCTTCTCTGTTGATGCATGCGGCAGTAGTTCCTTTCCGAGGAAATAAGGAAACCGACCATGGTGGCGTAGCGAAATCACCTAGCATTTGGACACGTTAAATTGGATGTCGTTTTGAATAGACCATTTGTGAGCTCAATTCATTGTTTCTTGGAGTTCCAGCGAACTCCCACTTTCCGTCACTGTCTTCCAGATTTTGACGTCGTCTGCAAACAAGGATGTTTGTGGTCCTCGAGAAACGCAGTAAACCAATCAAGCGCGAGGTCTCTGATACCAAAATTGTACAGTTTACGGATCAGTGGTTCACTCGATGGAACGCTTTGGAGAAGTCCAGGTTAACCACATCAACTGCATCACCTTTGTTCATTCATTGCGGGCCAGGAGCAGATTGATAGTACATGATCTGTTTTGACGGAATCCATGCTGAGCTGGGGAAGGGAGGTCGTATTTCTCTAAGTGCTCCATCAATAATTTCCATGACTTTGGATAGAACGGACAGGAGTGTCACCGGGCGGTAGTTGGCAGGATCACTACAACAGCCACCTTCGTAAATTGGAGAAATTATGCTTTTTTTCCACGACTGGGGTAGCACGGTTGCATCAAACCTCCTTTGGAAAAAAAGCTAGCGGTTCAGATGTGATCCATTAACGCAATAAGCGGTTGGGGATGTAGATTATCTGCACCTGGAGCCGAATACTCAAAAGCTTTGATTTCGCTCTGTCGGCATCAACCGTAAAGATAGTCAGTGGTGGATTGGGAAGAATGAGTTTCCGACGAGGTAGCCGCAGACTCGTGTTGTTGGGTGTGTCGAAAACTTGGGCATATTGGTTTTTCAGCATCTCAGCTGCTTCCTGGGTGTTACTGGCGACCTTCCCAATACCAACTCCAATGTTGATGGTTGGCGGCCATTCCAAATCTGGTGGGATCCTTCACGTGATTATGCATCGGATGTGTCTATAAACTGTGATAGACTTCGCTCGAAAGCGTGGTAATAGTTCTGGCTTTTTATAAAATTGGAACAATTGAAGTCTCCCATTATGAGAACATGAGTGAGCTTTAAGGAGACGGCGTTTCTCACAGTCTGCAAGAGTACTTCGTAAGCTTAGTCTGAGGATGCAGGAGGGCGGTAGACTACACCGATTAAACAATCGCTATCTATGGACAGCCTCATTGTGCACCAAAGTGCGTCAGGGGCTGAATCGAAATAATTGAGTGGTTCACACTGAAGGTTGTTGCAAAACGGTAGCAGCACACCGCCACCTCGTGTAGAAGGATCACGCCTCGGCAGCGACATTCCCGGTAGGAGCAATTCAGAGTCGAGAATATCGGTAGTCAAACAAGTTTCGGTAATGGCAACAAGATCCCACTGACCGGTTGGCAAGCTCCTTTGAACCTCAGGGAGTTTTCTTAGGAAGCCTTGTATGTTTGCGTCAAGAAAGCTAGGGAGAGTCGGTTTAGGAATCCACTGGGTTTCAAATCGTTATTTATGCCGGCCACTCTGCGGTCGGCTAGCAGTAATTTTTTAGAGAATCGGTTCTGCTGCTGTGAGCCCGTGAATAAGAAGAGTGAAGTCGAGTTTGGTTAAGAAGAGGCAGCGTGTTAGCTCCGTTTTCTAACTGCGGATATCATTTTACCT